CCTACCTCCACAGGGACAGAAACACAGGATACTTCCCAACCTCATCCAGGATGTTTATCTGTATTCTTTAAAATATCTTTTTTGGTCATTGCTTTACTAAACTCTAGTGTGGCCATGTGCTCTTTGAGCTATGGCTGCTGCCATGTTTTCCTAAACTTTGGCCTCCTCCCCTACCTTGGGGAAGAGAATCTCTTCTCTAATTTACTTCCTAAATAAACTATATTTTCCAATCATATATATATATATATATATATATATATATATATATATATATATATATATTCTTTTGGGGCCAGGCGTAGTGGCTCACACCTATAATCCCTACACTTTGGGAGGTCAAGGCAAGAGTATCACTTGAGCCCAGGAGTTCAAGACCAGCCTGGGCAGCATAGTGAGACCTCATCGCTACAAAAAATTTTTAAAAATTTGTGGGGCATGGTGGTGTGCACCTGTAGTCTCAGCTACCTGGGAGGTTGAAGCAGACGGATCACCTGAACCCAGAAAGTTGAGGCTGCAGTGAGCCATGATTGTGCCACTTCACTCCAGCCAGGGCAACAGAGTGAGACCTCAACTCAAAAAATAAAATAAAATAAAACATTCTTCTCAATTGCCTGAGCCCAGGAGGTTAAAGCTGCAGTGAGTCGTGATGGTTCCATTGCACTTCAGCCTGGAGATAGAGCAAAATCCCAACTGAATCAATCAATAAAATTTTAGAAAAAAATAAATAAAATATTCTTAGTAAGTCAGTAAACATAAGTAAGTGGTTTCCCTGAATTCAGTTTAGCAAATTAATTGAACCCCAAAAAGCAGTCATGGGAACCCCAACTTGAAGCCAGTCAGTTAGAAGTTCTAGAGGCCCAAAAATGCAACTAGGGGAAGAGGGAGAAGTTTGGGGACTGAGCCCTCAGCCTGCGGGATGTGACTCTATCTCCAGGTAGAGAGTGTCGGAATTGAATTGAAGGATACTCAGCTGGTGTCTGCTGCTTGATAAGCCCCTACATTTGGTCACAGAAGTCTTATTCTGTGTGACTGTTGTGGTAGTGTGAGAGCAAAGGGAAAAATACAGTTTGAGAGAGTCTTTGCCACGACACCTAGGAACATGTAATAATACGATTGTATGATCCTTTTTATAATATGCCCTGAAAGTAACTAATTAGGATCACGGTTTCCACATATATGAGGAAAAAAGGCCCTAAGAGAAATCCTCTCAACAGATACTAGAGAATGAGGGAGAAGTCCAAAAATCTCTTCATAACTACATCATCTAAATGACCTCAAAATGAAAATATTTGCTTCTTTCAGGCTTCTGCCTATCCATTCTCTAGTCTCTGGTCAGTCTAACCTACTGTAATTTACCTCTCCAATACCTATAGTTAGCATAATTCTTGTCCCTTTTTCATTATTTTTTAAGTCATAATCATCAGAACGTTTATTTAAATATTATGTTTTATTATCTTTAAATTGGTTGTTTTGTTATATGTGAATCCTGTTGATCCAGAAGTTCTCTGGAGACTGGGTCTATGTACTACATATAGTCATAACTCTAACAGAATACATTCTAGTTGAGATTTTTCAGAAATATCATAGCCATAAGCAGGGTAGACATCGAGGTTTATTCCAGTATGGGTAGTCAAAGCAGGAAAAGACATTCAATACCAACTAACAAATGTGCCACTAAACATACCATACCCAATTGAAAATCTCTGAGCAGGAGAACAGAAAGAGTAAAACTAGCTTGAGGTTACAGTAGGTAAGCAATACAGGAAAGGAAAACACAAGAAAAAACAAAAGGTAGATCCCTGGGAGAAGAGAATTAGAATTGGGTCTAAAGAGGCAATTCTTTTACAAATTTATAATTAGCATTCGATTTCTAAAATGGACAAGGATCTGCATAGACATTTCTTCAAAGATGTGTCCAATAAGCACACCCAAGATACACAGAATCATAAGCCATTAGGGAATGCACATCAAAGCCACAAGATACTACTTCACATCCACCAGGATAGTTTCAATAAAAAAGACAAACAACAAGTGCTGGCAAGCACAGAGAAATCAAAATTCCTCAAATGATCAAATATAGAGTTACCATATGACCCAGCAGTTCCACTCTCTCAAGAGAAATAAAAACATCTGTACATGAATGATCACAGTAGCATTATTCATAATAGCCAAAAAAGCAGAAACAACCCAAATGCCTATCAACTGATCAACAGATAAACAAAATGTGATATATCTAATACAACAAAATATTATTTAACAATAAGAAGAAATACATGCTACAACATAGATGAACTTTGAAAGCATTATGTTGAGTGAAAGATGATATAGGTCATACATATGATTCAACTTATATGAAAAATACAGGCCGGGCTCAGTGGCTCGGCCTGTAATCCCAGCACTTTGGGAGCCCGAGGAAAGTAGATTGTCTGAGTCTGCGGGTTCAAGACCAGCCTGGTAACTTGGCAAGACCTCATCTCTACAATAAATCAAAAATTAGCCAAGTGTGGTAGCGCGCATCTGTAGTTCTGGCTACTTGGAAGGTTGAGGCGGAAGGATCGCCAGAGCCCAGCAGGTCGTGAGTGTGCCACTGCAGCCTGGATGACGGAGTGAGACTCCAACTCAAAAAAAAGAAAAATACAGAACAGGCGAACCTACAGAGGAAAGTGGAATAGCAGCTGCCTAGAGCTGGGGAATGGGAGGACAATGAAGTAGAGGGTTTCTTTCTAAAACGATGAAAATGTCCTAAAATTGACTACAGAGATGGCTGCACATACCTGTGAAAAACACTAAAAAACCACTGAATTGTTTAAGTGGGTGAAATGTCTCATGTGTGAATTAAATCTCAATAAGCTGTTAATTAAAAAAACACAATTCAGAAATACTTTACTTCACTCGGCCTAGGCTAAGCTCAGTCCAGGAATTTCCTCTGCAACATATCACCTTAAAATGAAATATTCAGCTTTACCTCGGTGGCAGTAGTTCTCAAAGGGGTGTATGTTAGAATCAGGTATAATACTTTAAGGTGAACCCAGGCCTCTGGATTAAAATTTCTATGAGGCTACATGCATCAATACTTTTCCTTACGTTCCAGAGGTTTAAACAGAAGTGGGATGGAATTTTAATAGACATGTTGGGATAAAGAACAAAAATCTGAATATGGTCTTTATATTAGATGCTACTATTAAAATGATATTAAACTTCTTAGACCTGATAATGTATTGGGATATTTTGGAGATTTCCCTTGATCTCAGGAGAAATACTTAAGATACAAGGTGTCATAATTAGTCTATGACTTGCTTTAAAATGCTTCAGGAAAAAAATATATACATACATACAGATAAAACAAATATGGCAAAATGTTTGCAAATCAGTCAATCTAGGTAAAGTTTATATGTGTGTTCACTGCATAATTCTTTCCATTATTCTGTAGATTTGAAAAATTCAAAATAAAGTTGGGGATGTGAGAAGTTCCACAAATGATAATGAATCTCTCTGTAGCCTAAGAGTTACAAACTTCAGGTGTAATCAGGAAATCCTTTGATCCAAAAATTAGCTTCCCACCTGCTGCATGAAGACCCCCCCCACCACGTCCCAGGATGAACAAACGAACAAAGCATTCTACTCCATGTATGTTGACCCAAAACACTTATAATCCCATAGCGTAGATAAGATATTTTAATGGGAAAAAGTTTCTGTTATTGTATCCTGAAAATTACTAATCTGCCTTGTCCTAAGGATAGAGGGAAGTGTGACAACAGCAGAAAGTCAGTGAGTGACTTAGGTACAAAGGCAGGGCCTCTGAGGGTAAAAGTATGTAATAACCAGAAAACAACCAGAACACAACCTGCCTAGACCACTCAGCCTAACCTCTGTAAGGCCATGCCTATTAAACAAAGCCCAAACAAAGAAAAGGCTGGGTTTTTTGAATTGTTTTGTTTTTTGAGTTGGAGTCTCACTCTGTTGCCTAGTCTTAACTGCCATGGCACTCTCACGGCAAGCACAGCCTTGACCTGCTGGTCTTAGGCGATCCTTCTGCCTCAGCCTTCCAAGTAGCTGGAACTACAGGCACATGCCACCACGCCTGGCTAATTTTTTTATTTATTGTAGAGATGAGGTCTCACCAAGTTGCCCAGGCAGGTCTCGAACATGTGTGTTCAGGCAATCCTCTCACCTCGACCTCCCAAAGTGCTGGGATTACAGGTGTGAACCATCATGTTCAGCCTTTTTTTAAAGAAACAGTATCACTCTCACCCAGGTTGGAATGCAGTAGTGCAATCATAATTCACTGAACCTCAAATTCTTGGGTTCAAGTGATCCTCACCTGCCTCAGCCTCCCTAGTAGCTAGGACTACAGACATGCACTACCTCACCCGACTAATTTTTTTTATTGTAGAGAAAGATCTCACTATGCTGCCCAGACTGATCTCAAACTCCTGATCTCAAACAATTCTCCCATCTCATCATTCTTTTTCTTAACTCTAACTATAAAATAAGTAGCAGTGACAGTGACAGCATAAGAGAGCAATCAGAATATATTCAATTAAACTTTAATTCTTAGTTGGACACAGTGGCATGTGCCTGTAGGATAGGATCACTTGAGCCCAGGAGTTTGAGGACAGCCCAGGAAACACAGCAAAACCTTGTCTCTTAAAAAAAAAAAAAAAATTTGAGCCGGGCTCGGTGGCTCAGCCTGTAATCCCGTGCCTTTGGGAGGCTGAGGTGAGTGGATTGCCTGAGCCCGCGGGTTCGAGACCCGCCTGGGCAGCGAGACCTCATCTCTACAATAAGTCAAAAAATCAGCCGGGCGTGGTAGCGCATGCCTGTAATTCCGGCTACTTGGAAGGCTGAGGCGGAAGGATCGCCAGAGCCCAGCAGGTCGAGGCTGCGGTGGCCGGAAGCGGCCACTGCACTCCAGTCTGGGTGACAGAGTGAGACTTCCACTCAGAAAAAAAAAAAAAAAAAATTCATTCTTGCTCTATACTTCCCTTTGAGAAATTAAATTATTCCAATTCCTAAAAAGAAAAAATAGATGTGGCAATCACAAATGACAATCAAGGATTTGTTCACAAATCAAACCACCATCTTTACTAACACTTACCAAGCCAGCAGTAAGAGAAGGTGCAGACTGTCCAAGGGATTGGTTTCTCATTCGAACCAGGTTGGATGCTTCTCCTGAAGACAGCCACGTCACCTGTCCCACACTGCTATGTACACTGCTGGACAAAGGGAGCAGCTGCTTACCTTCAAACACAAGGTTTGGAAAATACATGTGTAATTATTAATTGATAAATGAATGAAAAAAATACAAATATAATATCAAGCAGATAAAATCATATTGGTACAAAGTTCATCCATATCCATTCTAGAATCTATAGTCCTTCAAAAGTTCCAGCTATCTTGGTGGTAAGAAGAATTGCAAGTAGAATAATGAAAAGAATTGGCAGGGCTCAGTGGCTCAGTCTGCAATCCCAGCACTTTGGGAGGCCGAGGCAAACAGATTATCTGAGCCTGCAGGCTTGAGACTAGCCTGGGCAACTAGTGAGACCTTGTCTCTACAATAAAAAATGAAAAAGAAATGAATTAACTATTTTTAAGTCCTCTGTAATATTCACTATCATGCCAGCCTCCCATTCCAACACTCAGCTGTCTAGGAGTCTTCAACCCCTTCCAGTCTATGTAGTTTCTTACCAATTCAATGCAACAAAGGAGGTGCTGACAAGTTCTCCTAGACAATCTGGCCCTTAGGTTTCCAGAAAACAAACAATTAATCTATACTGCTCTCACCAGACTCCATATGTTCAGTCTAGATTTACTTACTACCTTAATCTCATTAAACGACTATAAGAGAGTAACTTATAAAGACTAAGTGTTGAGAACTGCAATGACTTTAACTGAGTTACAAGTCCCATTTCTCCCCTTTCTTCATATCACTCTTCATATTGTTGCTAGTGATCTAACCAACATAAATATGTTCATGTAACTCCCTTCCTTGAAAGCCTCTGATGGGCTGGGCTCAGTGGCTCAGCCTGTAATCCCAACACTTTGGGAGGCTGAGGAGAGTGGATTGCCTGAGCCTACGGGTCCGAGACCAGCAGGGGCAACTTGGTGACAACTTATCTCTACAATAAATAAATTTTTTTTTTAAATTAGCCACATATGTGGTAGTGCACATCTATAGTTCCAGTTACTTGGAAGGCTGAGACAGAAGGATCGCCAGAGCCCAGCAGGTTGATGCTGGGGTGGCCATGAGCATGCCACAGCACTCCAGACTGGGCGACAGAAACTCCAACTCAAAAAAAGCCTCTGAGGGCCCCTCACTGTTTAAAGAAATCAGGGCAAACATTTCAGCATACAGGAAAAACCCTCCATAAATCCAGATTCTCTTTCTGACCTCATCTTTTCCACTCTTCCCCATACCTGTTCACTTGCTCAGCTTCAATATTACGCCCTGTCACTTTCACCTGGCGTCATCATAATCCCCAAGTTCACTTGAAAACCCATCCTGTGTCTTATAAAATCTTAGTCGTGGAAATATTCACTGTAGTAAAGATGTGAAGGAAAGGGATTGGGGGATTATTTTTATTTTTGGTTTTGCTACAACAAACAATAAAACGCATCTGAAGAATAATTTAGCAAAACTAAACATAGAAAAAAACTAAGATATAGGAAAAAGATTAAGAAATATTTTAGGTTGGGCTCGGTGGCTCAGCCTGTAATCCCAGCACTTTGGGAGGCCAAGGCAAGTGGAATGCCTGAGCCCGCAGGTTCGAGACCAGCCCAAGAAGCTTGGCGAGACCTCGTCTCCACAATAAATCAAAAATTAGCCGGATGTGGTAGTGTGTGCCTGTAGTTCCGGCTACTTGGAAGAATTGCCGGAGCCCAGCAGGTTGACGCAGGGGTGGCCATAAACATGTCCCTGCACTCTAGCCTGAGCAACAGAGTGAGACTCCAACTCAAAAAAAAAAAATATTTCACTTTGACATGATGCTATTTTTATGCTTAAATTCTCTATAACTTGTGTATTTTACTTTTTTATCAGAAAAAATGCAATATATGTTTTAAATCTAGCTATCTTTCAAGTCTCTACTCAAATGTACCCTTTACCAGAAAGTCTTTCTATAAAACCCTCCACAAAAATAATGATTATGGCTGGGCTCGGTGGCTCAGCCTGTAATCCCAGCACTTTGGGAGGCTGAGGTGAGTGGAATGCCTGAGCCTGCGGATTCAAGACCCACCTGGGTAACCTGGTGAGACCTCATCTCTACAATAAAATAAAAAATTAGCTGGGCGTGGTAGCACACGCCTGTAGTTCCAGCTACTTGAAAGGCTTAGGTGGAAGGATCGCCAGAGCCCAGCAGGTCAAGGCTGAGGTGGCCGGGAGCATGCCACTGCACTCCAGTCTGGGTGACAGAGTGAGACTCCAACTCAAAAAAAAAACCATAATAATGATTATGATGACTCTCTACTCAAAACTTCCACAAGCCCAGAGCAGAGCCTGCCTATCTTCTTTCCTTCATTCTGCACATGTTATATGTTTCTGCAGACAAGCTGTCTACTTCTCACCTATTCTAAAGAAAAGCTAGCATATTAATATATCCTATCCACACAAATAAAGGCTAGTATAGTCTCTCTCTTCAAAATAAGCACACGATGGGGAAAGAGTCTTATACATCTGTCAAATAAACCTATTTGAGTATACATTAGCAAGGGCTTGAAGCAAATCAAGGACTGCCAAGAATCTGAGAAAAATGTACAACATAAAGCAGAAGGAACAATATGAACAAATAGAACAACTAGTCCTTTAGTAAACAACGCAGGGAAAAAAACCTCTTAAAAATTATTATTCTAACAATAATTCAAGAGGCTACTGCATTATAGCCTACCCAGTTAAAGATGGCAGACTAAGCATATGTTTTCATCTTTTGACCTCTAGGAAACACCATAAAAATGAGACTAGAGAAGTAAACAAAGGCCAAAACAGGAGAGACAGACACTGACTGGTAATGGGGGGGTGAAAAATTGTGGAAAAAACTAAAAACAGGTGGATCATAACCAACAGAACGAGATAAAGAAAGGCACAAGCTAGACCAAACATGGAAGAGGTTGCAATTAAGTAGCCCTGCAAAATCTTAGAAAAGCTGAGTACACAGAAATGAAAACAACTAAGAAGGCAAAAAGTAAGACATAAGGCTGAAATCAGATTAACTTAAAATTCTATAGACAAAACAGTCAAACACAACCACATTTCTACAATGTACCACTGAGTAGTTACACAATTACCACAATGGATAAAGAAGGTGTAGAATATTCAAACCAAAACACTGAATATTCTGGTTGTTAGGTGCTCAGGAGAAAAAGAGATGATCCAGATAATAAAAGAAAACTTTTAAAATTTTTAATTCAAAAATCTATTTACCCATGGACAATTAAAAGATAACCCTAGCCCTAAAAGAACAAAATACTATAAAAAGGCAAACAAGAAATGGCTCTATGTGATTAAATGCATGACAGACTAAAGAACAGTTTCGATACAAGAATAAGAAAATAAAGTCAACAAAACAGTGCTCAAAAAGGAGAGGAAGAAAAAGAAATTGAAAATTGTTTACTGTTGGGCAAAGGAGTACAGTGGAATTACATTTTCTTCTCCATTTATATAATATTTTTAGCTGAGGTCAAATGAATTTTCTTTTTTTCAAACTTTACTGATTGATAAAAATTATGCCACATTTTAACTGCCTCCTATTTGAACCACAACTTCTTTGTATAATTTTTTTCTCCTTGAATTTTTTTTTGCATTGGAGTCTCACTCTTGTCGACCAGGCCGGTATACAGTGGCATGTTCACAGTCACCACAACCTCGACCTGCTGGGCTTAGGCGATCCTTCTGCCTTAGCCTTCCAAGTAGCTGGAACTACAGATGCACACCACCATGCCCAGCTAGTTTTTGTGATTTATTGTAGAAACGAGGTCTCACCAAGTTGCCCGGGCTGGTCTTGAACCCATGGGCTCAGGCAATCCACTTGCCTCAGCATCCCAAAGTGCTGGGATTACAGGCTAAACCACCGAGTCCAGCCCTCCTTAAATTTTGTAAATAACTTTTCTGTGGGGAGGCAGTATGAGTTTTAGGTTTGGGGAATGGAGAAAATAAAAAGAAGCAAATGGGCAGAAAGCAAAAATCAGATTAAAAGGGAGTGACAAGTAACAATGATCAACCAAGATATATCTCTATCAGGTTCAGGAGGTTAGCAATCAAAGAATCCATGAGGAAGTAGTAAGGAGAAAGAGATAGACTTGTCATGACTACTATCAGAGAAGTTGTGTAGATGCCAAGTCAACTGATACATCCTTAAATATTGACCACACTGTCCCAAATTTCTTTTTTTTTTTTTTGAGTTGGAGTCTCACTCTATCGCCCAGACTGGAGTGCAGTGACACGCTCCCGGCCACCGCAGCCTCAACCTGCTGGGCTCTGGCAATCCTTCCACCTTAGCCTTCCAAGTAGCCAGAACTACAGGTGCGCCATACCACACCCGGCTAATTTTTTATTTTATTGTAGGGACAAGGTCTCGCCAAGTTGCCTGGACTGGTCTCGAACTCACAGGCTCAGGCAATCCACTCACCTCAGACTCCCAAAGTGTTGGGATTACAGGCTGAGCCACCAAGCCCAGTCCCAAATTTCTTTAAAAGAAAAAAATCAGATTATTTACCTGACAGAGAACTAGCCAGGCTTCCTCTCCGTAACTTACAGTCATCCTGACTAAGTTGTCGTTGGAGTTTAGCTTTTCCAGTGGATGAAAATATGTCAGGATTACTAAGCTTCCGGAACAGCAGGGGACTAAGTCCAGTTACCACATCCTTCAAAGAGAAAACAATAAAATACAAGTCTTTAATATCTTTTCTGAATATAAGAACTTTATATCAAGCATCACTACAACATTCATTATAGTTGAAAAGTGTTAGCATGTTCTATTTCTCTATAGCTAAAGTCAGAAACATATTTCTTAGTATGTTTAGTGCCATAAAGGACATGAGATATTGATTATAAAGACTATATTTTCAGGGATCATTTTTATAGTTCAGGATATTGATTACAAAATGCTAAAGGAAAAATAGAGGAGGAGGTTCACAGGATGACATAAGACATTTGGATAAGAAATATTCATAATGTGAATACTTCTAATTATATTTACTTTTCTTTTATTCATATTCTTCCTATTCCAATAAAGAAAAGCATATGCATATGTTACTTTTTAAAAATCATTAAATAGCAAGCTTTACTTGTCATACCAAGCTGAAAATAGCTCTAGCATCAATTAATGCTAAAAGAAAACTTTCTTTATATGCCTACAACAGGAGCTAAATACAGGTTTTCAAAGAAAAATTATTATGAAAAAAATAGACAATATATGAAACACTGACAGTAGCTCCCCCTTGCTTTTTAGTCTAGTACATCCCATTCCACCCCAATGCCTTTCTCCTCACTCAGTAAGCAGTGTCCAACAATATCATCAACATTTAGACATTTTAAAGCCAATATCCACCTAATAAAGAGTATTAAGTGGAAAATTTGAAAAAAATAAGGCCAATGAGGCATATTTTTTATATTTCAATGAAAGAAGCCATAATAAACAAGATGAGTGGGAAATCAAACTGATTAGGACAGTATAGAGACAAAATAAGAAGCATAAAGAGAAATAACTGACCCCTTTATGTCACCTGCCATTCGAAAAAAAAAACAAGACTCAAACTAGCTCCATGGCAATACTAAAAATCACAAGAAAAAAAGGGGATGGAGGGATTCCCACTTCTCTAGTATAAAAAAAAAACAACTCTTTAAGGTCATATATTATATTGGTGGGTTCACAAAAAGGGTAAAGTACTAATATTGGTGACTATTCAGAACATGATTACAAATGTCCAAGCATAAAAAGAGTGAAATTGATGAAGAAAAATACCTGAAGATGGGAAAAAAAATTCAAAATGTGGTGGCAAATGAAAAAAAAAGGATAAAGGGGAATCTTGAAATGAATCATTAAAGCAATAGATGTGCTCAGGCAATGAACTATAGCAGGAGTGAGCAGTGAGAAAGAGCAACTGGAAACAGCAGTTAATGCAAAAAGAGAAGGCAACAAGGGAGTAGCCTATATTTCCACCATTTATTGTGTCAAAGATGAAACAGTATCTGAGTATCAAAGAGAAATCAGGAAAGGAAGCAGGGTCTGGGCACTAATGCAGGTAACCCACTAAAGAGGCCTAGGAGCTCACAAAAGAAACACCTACAGCAAGAAGCTCTAGGTGGAGGGAAGTGGAGAGACCTTGAAGACATCCAACTAGAGTGGATATCTTGTATGAAAACAATGTGAAGAAAAGATCCCTCTCAAAAAAATTTTACAATGAGTTACATGAGAATTATACCATCTGTATGTCTGCTACACTGTATGGATGAATAATCAGTCTTAGCCAGAGAAGGAACAACAACCAACAGAGAACTAGATCAGTACCAATTAAGAGAAACACATATCTTCCCTACCACAATACCAAAAAAAAGAACCAGAAAACAGAGGACAGGAAAAAATGAAACAGTGGATGGATCATGCCCCTTCTTATTCCAAGTCTCTCCAATCAAAACCTGGCAAAGGGAAGGAAATAGAAATTAAGTTAGATATAAAATTTAACTTTTAAGTTAAGATGTGTCTTTAATTTACTTTATTTATTTTTTTGAGTCAAGGTCTCACTCTGTCATCCAGGCTGGAGTGCTCACTGCAACCTCAAACTCCTAGGCTCAAGCGATTCTCCTACTGGGACTACAAGCGCACATCAAAATGTCAAGCTAATTTTTTTATTTTTTGTAGAGACAAAAATCTATTACATAGTCTGTGATGGTCTTAAACTCCTCAGCTCAAGTAATCCTCCCAAATGATTCAATTAATATTCACAAATTAAACATAACCATGAAACCAGCATCAAGATAAAAAATTTAAAAGACATAATAGGTACACCAAGTATCCCTTTCTTTCAGTCACTATCCTCACCCCCAAGGTGATGGTATTAGAAGGTGGGGACTTTGAGAGGTGATTAGGTCATGGGAGTGGGGCTCTAAAGAATGAGATTAGAGGCCAGGCACAGTGGCTCAACCCTGTAATCCCAGCACTTTGGGAGGCCGAGGTGAGAGGATTGCCTGAGCCCACGGGTACAAGAACAACCTGGGCAACTTGACAAGACCTTGTCTCTACAATTAATCAAAAAATTAGCCAGGTGTGGTAGCACATGAATGAAATCACTCAGTATGAACTTTTCTGTGTCTTGTTTCTTTTGCTCAACTAGATTGGACATTTTAAAACAAGAGAGTGTTACTGAGTTTACTCAAGAAGCCATTAAAGGACAGGAGAGGAAAACACTAACAGGACACAAGGACACTAACTTCTTGCAGTTTTCTAGGTTCCATTTCTAGTCCCTCATGAGGTCCAGCCAAACGCTAGGTTTTTGGGTTCATGGGATACCAATGTACCTTTATAATAAGCTTTTTCTTTCTGCTTAAATTAGATCAAATTCTTTTCTATCATTTCTGCAGTCACATGATTCTTTTTTTTTTTTTACTGAGTAGAAGTCTCTATCACCCAGCATGGAGAGCAGTGGCATGCTCATGGCCACTGCAGCCTCAACCTGCTGGGTTCAAGCAATCCTTCAGTCTCAGCCTTCTAAGTAGCTGGAACCACAGGTATGTGCCACCAAGCCTGGTTGATTTTTTTATTTATTGGAGAGACAAGGTCTCACCATACTGCTGAGGCTGGTCTCAAACCCCTGAGCTCCGGCAATCTTCTAGCCTCAGTCTCCCAAAGCACTGGGATTATAGGTGTGAGCCACTGTGCCCAGCATCAAATGATTCTTAAGCACAATAGGGAGTTAAGGACAGGAAGGAGTCTAGGATGACTTCCAGGTTTCTGGCTGGGTGGCATGCTTAACAGCTACGGAGTACGGAAGGAGATACAAGTTTACAAATAAGATACTGCTATGGCAATTGTAAATATTAGTATAACTACAGATTACAGTAGTTTTCCAACAAGTATTAGGGAAGGAAGGAAGAAAGGAAGGAAGGAAGGAAGGAAGGAAGGAAGGAAGGAAGGAAGGAAGGAAGGAAGGAAGGAAGGAAGGAAGGAAGGAAGGAAGAGCAAGCCAGCCAAGGGAGACATGAATAACTCTTTAACTATGAGGGCTATCTTCTAAGTTACAGGAAAGTAAACGTCTTACTTCAGAGGCCAGAATTAGAACTAATGCAGGAAAACAACAAAAAGAAAAGTAGGTTCTGAGAATCACAAATCACTGCCTATAGCAGTGATTTTCAAAGTGTGGTTTCACAGACCAACAGCATCAGCATCAGCTGTGAACTTGTAAGAAATGCAAACTCTTCCAGGAGTTCAAGGAGTTTGAAACCAGCCTGGGCAACATAATCAGACCCTGTCTCTACAAAAAATAAGCCAGCCTTGGTGGCACAGGCCTACAGTCCCAACTACTCAGGGGGCTGAGGCAAAAGCCTCACCTGAGCCCAGAGAGTCAAACCATGATTGTGTCAGTAAGCCATGATTGTGCCACTGCACTCAAGCCTGAGTGACAGAGTAAGACCCCCAACTCAAAAAAAAAAAAAAAAGAAAAGAAAAAGAAAGAGAAAAATTCTCAGGTGCCATCTCAGATCTACAAAACCAGAAATTCTAGCAGTAGTGACTGGCAAACTGTTTTAACAAGTCTTCAGGTGATCCTGGAGCATGCTAAAGTTTGAGAACTACCAAACTAGATAAACAACTTTCCATATGATGCCACTAACACACAGATACATTGATCAATTTTGAGGACTGTGTCACAAATTAATTGAACTCTATAATAAAGTATTCAAGTTTGCAACTGATTTACTTTCCAAATTAAAGGAAAGCAAGGGCTATGATCTAAATGTTTTTGCCCACCCAAAATTCCAAATGTTGAAATCTCTACCACCAAGGTGTGGAGTATTAGAAGGTGGGGATATTGGGAGGTAACTAGGTCATGGGAGCAGATCCCTAAAGAAAAGGATTTGAGCTCTTATAAGAGGCCCATGGGAGCCTCCCTCACCATGTAAGGATATAGCAAGAAGGCACCATCTATGAACCAGAAAGTGCCCCTTACCAGACAGCTAATGTGCTGGCACCTTGACCTTGGATTTCTCAGCCTTCAGAACTGTAAGAAATAAATTTGTTTTTTAAAAGCTATCCAGTTTCTGGGTATTTTATTATAGCAGTCCAAATATACTAAGAGAGCAGGTTCTTGGTAAACACTACAATAAATTCAGTTCTTTCTTAAGTGAACTTTTTTTTAAAGACTGAATTACAACTAACATACAAAGATTACAGAAAACTGGTATTTATCTATTACAGCAATAATATATTTAATACATGCCATGTACATTTCAGTTGGTTTTAAGAAAAGATTGAAAATTGCTAGACTACACAATTTCTACACATTTCTACCAACACTAAGAGTTTACTGCTTTCTCTGTTAATTCAGATTACAGAACTGTGGCTATTCTTCCTGTTGCCCTGGGTAGTCTTCACAAAGTCTCTCTTGACTCTGAATCTTTTTCCTCCTCTACAATACAGTGGAGGAACTAAAAAAGTTCAGAATTTATTTATAAAAAATTATGTATTTATTCTTACATGTTTAAACTTCAGTCATCTTCAAAGTACTCTCCATCTGATGCAATACACCTATCAAGATACTTACACTGGACGACCAGGCTCAGTGGCTCAGCCTGTAATCCCAGCATTTTGGGAGGCCGAGGAGAGTGGATTGCCTGAGCGTTAGGGTTTGAGACCAGCCCAGGCAACTTG